ATGTGTGGGTAGTCTGGTTCTAAGATTCAGCAGTACTTTAGAGGTTACAGAACCACAATCTCAGAAAGAAACACCACCAACTGTGAACACTCGAAAGATCCCATCTCTATGGTTTCCCCCTCCTTCTCCCCCGTCAAACAGTATTCCCTCGTACCAGAACCCTCCAAGAATCGATTGGGGCTCTAAATTTGCTCCACGCAAATTGTAGTTCTGTCGTGAGCAAGCACAATGCACTTTTCACCTGCAGCTGCCTCGCTCCGACCAAAGCGATTACACTCAGATTACTTGCCACCCATTACGACTGACACGAGTCCCTTCATGAAGGCGATTGTTTGAATTGGAAGCCGACGGAGTAAATACGTGCTACGCCAGGCAATCGACTCTCTCAGAGCTATCAAGAATTAAGCGCTTATCTGGACTATAAGATAAACTGGAGGCTGATAGGCGAGGGCTTATCCTTAGCATTCAAGTCATTGAGGGCTTCCATAGAAAGGTGAAGGCTTGACTGATCTGGACGAATGCGATCGATCCCATGCCCACTGGAAGCGGTGGGTAGGGTTTCAATTTGCAGCAATTACCTTCGACCCCGTCAAAGTTTTTAACCCAGCGAAGGAACATAATTGATCAGAATAGCCGCGATTCTACTCATTCTAATCCACACGGGGTTTCCCCACTATTTTGTCTTGTCAAAACCCCTTGAATGGGAAGCTTTGACAATGCGCTTTAGCTGATTTGCAATTCAAATCTATTTTTGCAGCTGCCTCGCGAAAAGTGCTTACCGTTTCTAGTGACACTGAACCACGCAAGCAAATTATGTAATCCACAAGATATGTACCGATTCGAGGAACACTAACACAACACTTGGAGGCTCGCCCATGTTTTACGTTTTTGCGGACATGCGAGACCATCGTTAACTTGTTGATAAATAACTCAGCAAGTTTTCTATCAAGACAAACAAAAAATATCTGAGATAGTAGGAAAAAATATATGGAAAATTACAAAAGCAAGCAGATTGAACAGGGAGAAAAACAAGAAAAACTTATTGCCTACAGCCCATACGCATATGATGGGATTCGCCAGTGGGCTAAGCGACAGAAAAAGGGGCTGGGATTGACCATCAGAATTGTTACCAGTACATGGCACTGGAAGTAGGTAAGAAACAGAAATCCTAAATGATTGAAAAAAAAACCAGAAGAACATTAGCGAAAAGCAAATGTGAAGTGAATGATCCCTACTGAAACTAAGAATTTGGTGAAAACGAGATGGGTATTCGGGAAAAATCGAACACGCAAGGAAATTATTACGTTTACTATATGATTAAATTGAATTCAACCACTTCCTTCACCGTAACTGAAATTGCTCCACTATTATCTTGATTAGAAGGTTGTTTCTGGAATTCAATATTATTGTTAACTTCCTAAGAAATTCATTTTAATTTATTGACGGCACGCCGATTTCTGCGCACCTATTCATTTTTTTTTCACAAAATTTCATCAGTAGTTATAATTCAGTGATTATTTACTACTTGTTAAACAACACCCCCGCGAGGAGCCAACTTGAAGCATCATTCCTAAGGTGAGATAGGGC